GAGAAATGTCTGTTCAAGTCCTTTGCCCACTTTTTAATTGGGTTGCTTGTCTTCTTGGAGTGGAGTCGTGTAAGTTCTTTGTATATTTTGGAGATTAAACCCTTGTCCGAGGTATTATTGGCAAATATGTTTTCCCATACAGTTGGTTCTCTTTTTATTTTAATACTGTTTTCTTTAGCTGTGCAAAAGCTTTTAATTTTGATGAGATCCCATGTGTTTATTCTTTCCTTTATGTCCTTGCTCTAGGGGACATATCAGTAAAAAAGTTGCTGCATGAAATATCTGAGATTTTCCTGCCTATGTTCTCCTCTAGGACTTTAGTGGTGTCACGGCTTATATTTAAGTCTTTTATCCACCTTGAATTTATGTTGGTGTATGGTGTAAGTTGGTGCTCAGGTTTCATGTTTTTGCATGTAGCTGTCCAGTTCTCCCAACACCATTTGTTGAAGAGGCTATTATTGGTCCATTTTATGTTGCTGCCCCCTTTTTTGAATATTAATTAGCCGTAGAGATTTGGGTTTATTTCTGGGCTCTCTGTTCTGTTCCATTGGTCTATGTGCCTGTTTTTATGCCAGTATCAGGCTGTTTTGATTACAGTGGCCTTGTAATATAGTTTGATATTAGGTATTGTGATCCCTCTGACCTTGTTCTTCTTTCTCAAAATTGCAGCTGCTATTCAGGGTTGTGTATGGTTCCATATAAATTTTTGAAGTGTTTGTTCTATGTCTGTGAAGTATGTCATTGGAGCTTTAATAGGTATTGCATTGAATCTGTAAAGTACTGTGTTTTTAAATAAAAGACTTTATAGCACATTTTAATGTCTGGTAGGAAAACTTACCCTCATAGTGTTTTTATTATTTTCCTGGCTATTTTTGCATGTTTGCCTGTATGAAATTTAATGTGTCTGTTGATATTTTATTGAGGTTGAATTGAAATTTAACTTAGAGCTGACATCTTTGTAATGTCGAGTAAAACCTATACAAGGATAGGTAATTTCTTTGCATTTGGTATAGTCTTTATGATTTTGAGGAGTTTTAAAAAGATTTCCATGCATAACTTTTCAGGAGTTTTAAAGTTTTTCTCATAATGGTTTTTTACATTTCTTGTTAAATTTATTTTTACTTAATCTTTATTGTTTTAAATGATGGCTCATGTCTAAGATGTCTCGTACATGATCATTATTTGAGTTTATGGAAAGTATTGATTTTTGTATATTTTTATCTGTTATTGTTTGAATTATTTTCATCATTGATTCTCTAGGATTTCTAGGTATACAGTCATATCATTTGCAAATGGAGATATTTTACTTCTTCCTTAGCAATTTTTATACTTCTAGTTGATTTATCTAATTGAATTGAATATCCAGATTTGTATCTGAGTTACCCTTCATGGCTGTGACTGGAGCCTGTCTTCAGATGAAAAATGTGACAGTTTACTGCTATTTCTTGCTTCTTGTTTCAACTTTTACTGGTTTCTATTTTCCTTAAGTCACTCTAAAGTTCATTCAGGTATTTTGTCCAGAGTTCATATCATGTAGGAGGATTTGTTTTCAATGAGAGTTTTATTTTATACTTTAATTTTTTATTGCTATTATATTACAGTTTTCCCAATATTTCCCCATTTGCCCTCCTCTACTCAACACACCTGGTCAGTCCTCACAATATTGTTCATATCCATGTGTCATTTATACATGTTCTTTGACTAGTTCCTTCCCCTTCTTTTCACCATTATCCCTCCACACCCTCCCCTCTGGTTGCTGTCAGTTTGTTTCATGTTTCTATGTCTCTGGTTCTGTTTTGCTCATTAGTTTATTTTCTTCATTAGATTCCTCTTATAGATGAGATCATATGGTGTTTGTCTTTTACCAACTGGCTTATTTTACTTAGCATAATACTTTCCATTTCTATCTATGCTGTTGCAAATGGTAAGAGTTCCTTCTTTCTTTCTGCTGTGTAGTATTCCATTGTGTAAATGTACCACAGTTTTTTTTTAATCTATTCACTTATTGTTGGGCACTTAGGCTGTTTTCAGTACTTAGCTATTGTAAATAACACTGCTTTGAACATAAGGGTGCTTGGTTTCTTTTGAACTGTGATTCAAAGTTCTTAGGGTATATTCCCAGCAATGGAATGGCTGGGTCAAAGGCGGTTCCATTTTTAACCTTTTGAGGAAACTCCATACTGTTTTCCACAGTGTCTCCACCAGTCTCTATTCCCACCAACAGTGCACTAAGGTTTCCTTTTCTCCACAACTGTACCAGAACTTGCTGTTTGTTGATTTATTAATGATGGCCATTCTGACAGGTGTGAAGTGATATCTCATTGTGGTTTTAATTTGCATTTCTCTGATGGTAATGATGTTTAGCATCTTTTCATATATCTCTGGGCCATCTGTATATCCTCCTTGGAGAAGTGTTTGTTCAGGTCCTTTGCCCATTTTTTAGATGGGTTGTTTGTCTTCCTGTTGTTGAATCATATGAGTTTTTGATATATTTTTGAGATTAAACTTTTGTCCAGTATATCATTGATAAATATGTTCTCCCATATAGTCAGTTCCCTTTTTATTTTGATGATGATGTCTTTAGCTGTGCAGAAGCCTTTTAATTTGGTGTAGTCCCATTTTTTAATTTTTTTCTTTATTTCCCTTGCCCTAGGAGATGTGTTAGCAAAATATTGCTATGTGGGATGTCTGAAATATTACTGCCTATTTTTTCCACTAGTTCTTATGGTATCACAACTTATATTTAAGTTCTTTATCCATTTTGAGTTTATTCTGGTATATGGTGTATGTTGGTTTCTAATTTCTCTTTTTAAATTAATTATTTATTTATCTTTAGAGGAGAAGGGAAGGAGAGAGGGAGAGAGAGAAATATCAATGTATGCTTGCCTCCTGTCTCTCCCCTGATGGGAACTGGCCTGCAACCCAGGCATGTGCCCTGACTGGGAATCGAACCGTGATACTCTGGTTTGCAGGCCCGCACTCAATCCACTGAGCTATGCCAGCCAGGTCTCTTTTATTTTTTATTGCATGTACCACTCCCAATACCATTTATTGAAGAGACTGCTTTTACTCTATTGTGCAGGTAACAAACACAAGGCCCGAGGGCCGAATCTGGCCCTCCACCTTGTTTTATCTGGCTCAGCACCTTGTTTCTGCCTGGTGGCAGTGCTGAGCTTCTTGCATCTAGTTAAGGAGTAGTTACATTTATACAGTTCTAAAATTACATTCGGCCATTTGAAGGCAACTGTGAGGCTGACGTAGCCCCCAGTGAAAATAAATTTGACACCCCTGCTCTATTGTATGCTTGTGTCCCATTTGTCAAATATTAATTGACCATAGAAACATGAACTTATTTCTGGGCTCTCTATTCACTTCCATTGATCTTATGCCAGTACCAGACTGTCTTGGTTACAGTATTCTGGTATAGTTTAATATCAGGTATTGTGATCCCTCCAACTTTGTTCTTTTTCTCGGGATTGCCAAAGCTATTTGGGGTCTTTTTTGGTTCTATATAAATTTTTGGAATATTTGTTCTAAATTTGTGAAATATGCCATTAGTATTTTAATAGGAATTATATTGAATCTACATATTACTTTGGGTAGTATAGACATTTTAATGATGTTAATTCTTCAATCCATGAACATGGTATATGTTTTTACTCATTTTTATGTTTCTCAATTTTTTTCTTTAGTGTTCTATAGTTTTGTCTTTTACCTTCTTGGTTAAATTTATTCTTAGGTATTTTATTTTTCTTGTTGCAATAGTAAATAATATTTTTTCTTAGTTTCTTTCTGATACTTTATTGAGGTGTATAAGAATGCCATTAATTTCTGAATATTGACTTTGTATCCTGCTACTTTGCCAAATTTACTAATTAGGTTGAGTAGTTTTTTGATGGAGACTGTAGGGTTTTCTATGTATACCATCACATTGTCTGTGTATAATGATAGTTTTATTTATTCCTTTCCAATTTGGTCATCTTTTATTTCTTATTCTTATCTAATTGCTATGGCTGGAACTTCCAGTACTATATTGATTTAGAGTGGTGAAAGTGGGCACCTTTTCTTGTTTCTGATCTTAAGGGTAATGCTTTTAGTTTTTTCCCATTGACTAAGATGTTGGCAGTAGATTTCTCTTATATGACCTTTATTATGTTGAGGTGTGCTCCCTCTATTCTCACTTTTCTGAGTGTTTTATCATTAATAGGTGCTGGATTTTGTCAAATGCCTTTTCAGCATCTATTGATATGATTTTTGTTTTTCATTTTTATGTGATGTGTTCCATTTATTGATTTGTGAATATTATACCATCCTTGCATTCCTAGTATAAATTCCACTTGATCATGGTGTATGACCTGTTTATTGCATTTCGGGATCCAGACTGCAAATATTTTGTTGAAGATTTTAGAATCTATGTTCATCAGAGATATAGTCTGTAATTTTCTTTCTTTGTTGTGTTTTACCTGGTTTTAGAATTAGGATGATACTGGCCTTATAAAAAGAGTTTTGGAGTCTTCCCTCTTCTTGAAATTGTTGGAATAGTTTAAGAAGGATAGGTGTTAGTTCTTCTTCAAATGCTTGGTAAAATTTGCCTGTGAAGCCAAACAGTTCAAGGCTGTTGTGTGCCAGGAGGTTTTTGATTACTGCTTCTATTTTGCTGGTACAATGAAAGTTTTATGATGCTCACTTTTTTTTAGGTTTTCCTTTTTAAAAAATCTGTCTTAGTGAGGCTTTCCTTATTATGCTATTTAAAAATTTCATTTCTCATCCCTTCCTGATGTTTTATTTTTGTACACTTTTATCATCAGTTCATATAGGCTATATTTTACTGTTTATTTGTTTTCTGATTTCCCCAACTAGAACATAAGCTCTGTGGGATCAGATATATTTCCCTCTTGTTTAGTGCTATTTCTTCCATTCCTAGGACAGCTGTTGCTTTTATATTTGTTGTATGGGTGAATTAATGCATTGATTTATTTCTTTTGCTCTCTTCTTCATAGCTCCCGAAAGGCAGTGGATGAGGAAGAAGAAGCAGTTGAAGAACGTCGGAATATGCGAACTGTTTGGGTGACTGGCAGAAGAGGTTTAACTGAAAGGGAAGCAGCAGCCCTTATAGTGGAAGAAGCCAAAATTATTCTAAAGCAGGACTTAGCTGAAATGGGAGTGCAGTGGAATCCATATCCCCACTTGGATTCTGATACACACTCATTGACCAGCAGTGAATCAGAAGTAAAGGAGCATAAATTTATACATCACACTAAGAGTTCTTGTGAAAGATTAACATCAAAGAAAAAAAGTAAAACAATACTCAGTGATTCTTCGGTTAAGGAGTCACCAAATAAAATGCAAGATTTAGGTAATCAAGAATGTGAGATACATTCAATTTCCAGAGCAAGAAAAAGGGCTTATTTGAATATAAGTAAAGGGAAGCTAGAAACCTCTTTGAATGAAGGAAAAACAAGAACTAAGAAAGCTTTTCAGACTTTCTTATCTGAGAAAACAAAAACAGAAGCTGTGAATTTCAGTTCCGAAAAGATGAGAACAAGCTTTCGATCATGGAAATATAGAAAGCATCTCAAACAATCCAGAGATAGTAGCCCTGTGAAAGGCACTGAGATGTGTAAAACTGATTTACAAAAACAGACCAAGTCTGATCATGTTTGTGAAGATTCATTTACCTCAGATGATAAGAATTTGAAATTTAGAAATCCAGGACCATTTGCTAAAAACACATCTTTTTGTGCTGAAGGAAAGCATAACAAAGTATCATTCCCATCACAAACAGAACAAAGTTGTTCAAGGAATGAAACAAAAACTAATGATATTCCTGTAGAACGTATTATCACAGGACCCCAGAGTAAAAAAGGGACTTGTGAAGCCACCAGTGTGGTTAGTGAAAGTGGAAGAGGATTAGCTGTTACTGAGTCAGAAGAAATAGACCAAGTACTGGTACAATGTGATTCAAATAACCAAAATGTTTATGTTAAACTCCATGATACCCATCCAGTTAACCAGTGTCCCAAGAAGCAGTCTGATAAACAGACAACTAACTATACCAAACAGAAACAAATAATAGAGAAACAAATGCCTTGTGATACAGTCAGTTATTATATGAATACAGACTCAAATGCTATTAGCAAATGTAGAAGTATAAAGTTTAATGTGGAGGAAAAGAAATCAAATAATCTTCAGGTATCTGGAGATAATATAAGCAGCACTGAGATACCCAGTGGAGTACCTCTACCAGCTGGAGCATCTGATGAATCTGGAGGCCAGCGGGAGGATGTTTTAAATACCTCTAGAATACAAGAAAAAACAGATGCTTATGCAGCAAACAAATCTAAAACTAATTGTGTTTCTGATTTAGGGTTAGTTCCTTGTGATTTTGAAGAGAGTTTCTACCTGGATACTCAGTCTGAGATAGTTATACAACAGATGGCAGCTGAAAATGCCAAACAAGGAACAAAGGACACCAACCTGGTAACAGAGATGATGCAGAAGAGTCTAGACAAACAGGGCTCGAGCTCTTTTCAGAATGAGATTCACATTACCTCTCCCAGTGAACAACATTCTCCAGGAGTGATAAATATAGATCATTTGGAACCAAAGGCTGTAGATACTATGAAACAAAGCCCTGGTTCCCATGAGGTTGATATGGTGACTCCAGAAAGCCCACTTCTCCATTCTCCAATATTATTGAGGGAAAATGGCCCTTGCTTTAAAGGGAATGAATTTTCTGTTACTGACTCCCAATTAAATAGTTTTCTTAAAGGTTATCAAACACAAGAAGCTATGAAACCAGTTATATCTCTGGTCCCTCAAAAGAGAACTCCCACAGATATAAAAGTAGAATGTCTGCCAGTTCCTGACACAAGTTGGAATTTGAGTAATAGTTTACTCTTTGATAGTTTCAGTGAAGACTCCCTAGTAAAAGAACAGCCACCTGATGCAGGAGCAGAAGAACCCCTGCCTTCTGAAGTAATGTCAAGCCATTTCAGTGATTCTCTGTGTCTACATCCAGAGGGCCCAATTAAATCAAATATGGATGAAAATCAGGATAATCAACAGCAGTTGATTTGTTTCAGTGATGAGTCTATTTTATTCTCAGAAATGGACTCTGCTCAGATGGTTGAAGCTTTGGACAATGTAGATATATTTCCTGTCCAAGATAAACATAATACTACAGTATCTTTTAAAGCATTAGAACTAAGTGATCCAGTTGGTAATGATTATCCCCAAGGAGATGTAACTGGAAGAGATAAAGATGAAAATCCTCAAAAATCTAAATTAACTCAGACAGGGCAGAATAATTCATTCACATGGTCTGGAGCATCATTTGATTTAAGTCCAGGACTGCAAGAGATTTTAGATAAAGTGTCCAGTCCTCTAGAAAATGCAAAGCTAAAGTTAACATCTATAAACTTGTCTAGTTTGAAAGGAAAAAATACAAAATTAAATGACAAAGAAGAAGTGATTTCAAATTTGGAGCCAAATCGAGTGCAGGGAACTTCATTCTCTCCTAATATTGAAGTAAAAAGCAAGATTGAGGCACCAGAGAACAATGCTGTTCATGGTGAAACCCTATCCCTCTTGCCTTGTAAAGAAAGTTGTGCAGTTGATGATAATGGACCCATTCCTCCTACACCGACTCCAGCATCTGCTTCTAAGCTGTCATTTCCAGGTATTCTTGGAACATCCTCTGTAAAACTTCAGAAAACTAGTAGTGTTTTACATCTTGGTGAAAGTTATTCATTTAGCTCACCATCAGATATTAACAACCACGATTTAAGTCCAGAGAACAAAAATAATGTAAAAGACAATAGTCCTATTAGAAACACAAGTTTTTCACTGCTGTTATCGCAAGATGGGTCCCAGTTAACTCCAACATCATGCAGTGCAGAAAGCTTGGCTATAATTGATGTAGCAAGTGACCAAACTGTCTTTCAAACATTCATTAAGGAGTTGCAGTGCAAAAAGCGATTTTCCATCTCACTGGCTTGTGAAAAGAAGAGTAATTTGACATCTTCTGAAAGTGTTACTATTGGCGGTAGGTTTAAGCAAGGTAAGAAATACATTTTTTTCACATTTACATGTAAAATAGTGGACTGAGATGGGACTGTGACTTTTCAGTATTGAATACTAAATGTAACGAATTTATTCAAAGTTTAATAAGTTTCTCTTATGTGGGTTAACATGTAAGACAGCCTTATTTTTCAGCACAGCTAGTTTAATAATAATTACCTTCTGGTATTGTTGACCCCGGGACACATAAGTGGGAGAGCTGAGCACTGAGACCAGGAGCTCAAGCTGGGGGACTGAAGAAATGCAGACCACCGAAGCACTACTCTTTCCTTTGACTCTGATCCGTTGTTGTGTGCCTGGATAATTAAGGCTGTGTCTGCCTCCTTACAAGAAGGCCGAAGGTCTATTCTAATTAGCCTTTCTACAGCAGGTCCCGATTCTAGGTGACCTGTCAGAAGTTCCAGATCAGTGTTATTTCTTGGGATATCGACATAGTGGTCAAGCTTTTTGCTGCTGGGGCCACCACAGTTGATGTGGTTGGTTCAGGGGCATGTATTGGAACAATGTTTGGCAGCTTGGTCACTGGGTTGCCCATCTCAAATAGCAGCTTTCTGCTATACCGTCTGGACTGTGTCCTCTCTGAGGCCACGGAGCTCTTCTTTTTGATGGCTGTTTTCCTTATCCTTTCCACGTTGTGAGGCTTCATGAAGGTCCCTCCACCTTCAACTCCAGGCCATGCTTGGTGCTAGTGCATGCCAAGCTTTACCATTAAATACAACATTTTCCCCTGGCCAGTGTGGCTCGGTTAGTTGGAGCATTATCCTGTAAGCTGTTAGGTCCCTGGTAAGCATGGGTTCAATTCCCAGTCAGGGCGCATGCCACGGTTGTGTGCATAGGAGAAGCAACCAATCAGTATTTCTCTCCCTCTGTCTCTCTTTCCCTCTCTCTCTCTCTCAAATCAATCGGCATGTCCTTGGGTGAAATAAAAAGACACGAATTTTTCTTCAAAAAATTGCATGTATATATATAATACATATTATATGTTATTATATAAATATAGAAATATTAGAATATGATTGTAAAAGTTGATATGTATTTTGAATATAGGTCACTTGTATCTGATGGTGTATACATGATTTTTATCATCAGTGCTCATGATGATTTTTTATTAAATTATAATGTCCTTATTCATTTATATAATCACAAAAGTGCATAGCAGATATGCACTTTTTTCACCATGTACATTAGCTTTGTTTTCCAAATACTTATCTCAAATAGAATTTGCACCTCTGCTGGTAGTCATGACTCCTATACTGAAATGTTTATCCAAAGCCTCACTGAGCTCTTCCAGGTTTTGAGTGTATTGAACTGTTTGGTCAGATAATACCATGTATATTTCAGTCTTACTTCATCAAAGTAAGTGTTCCGTATCATGGGGAATAGCTGTATTCAGCTTGATAACCTGTTGTGGAAATCAAACATATGATCAGATTTCTCAAATCTCTGTATTTATGAATGAGTGTGTCCATGAAGTTTTTTTATTGGTTGATTTATTTATTTTTGATTTATAATTTTTTTCTTCTTATTTATCGTTAAAGTACAGTGGTCTGCATTTTCCCCCCACAACTCCTCCCCACCCCAGCCATCCCACCTCCCTCCCCTGGTCCCATCCCCCTTGGTTTTGTCCATGTGTCCTTTATAGTTGTTCTTGAAAACCTTTTCCCCTTTTCTCCCCAATATCCCCTCTCACCTCCCTTCTGGTTACTGTCAGTTTGTTCTTAATTTCAGTGTATCTGGTTATAGTTTGCTTGCTTGTTGGTTTTGTTGATTGGGTTCCACTTAAAGGTGAGACCTTAAATGTCCACTAAGTTTTGAGTACTTGCCTGATCTTCGATTAATAGAGCACATGTATTAATGACAACATTTTAGTTGTCAGTGTTGACAAGTACATTCCATTTTTTATTGAACACATAAAATTGAGCACATTTTCTGTGCTAGAGGTTAGAGGGATAAAAGCATTTACTGAAATTTAATAAGTATGAGCCAGTAATTTTCCAGGTATTGGGGATATAATTGTAAGTAAAATAGATTGGTTCTGGAGCTATGTCTTTGTAAAATTAGAGATGCATGATTTTATTTTAAATAAAATAAAATTTTTTTATTAAAATTTTTTTTATTGTTGTTCAATTTCAGTTGTCCCCATTTTTCTCCCATTGATCTCCCCTGCCCTGCCCACATTCAATCCCCTTCCTGCCCCCATTGTCCTTGACCGTGGGTCCTTTATACATGTTCTTTGACTTGATCCTTCCCCTTCTTTCCCCCCTTATCCTCCTCCCCCAACCCTTAAAAAAAGTTTGTTCTTTTTTTTAAAAATAATTTTATTTATTTTTTTAAATTTTATTTATTTATCTTTAGAAGGGAAGGGAAGGAGAGAGGGAGAGAAATATCAGTGTATGGTTGCTTCTTGTGTATCCCCTGCTGGGAACTGGCCTGCAACCCAGGCATGTGCCCTGACTGGGAATCAGACCTCGATCTTTTGGTTCGCAGGCCTGTGCTCAATCCACTGAGCAGTTTGTTCTTTATTTCCATGTCTCTGGTTATATTTTGCTCCCTTGTTTGTTTTCTTGATTAGGTTCCACTTATAGGTGAGATCACATGGTAATTTGTCTTTCATCACCTGGCTTATAAAATTATTATCATTGTTTTAATGTTCAGTTCAATAGTGTTATTTTTAGAGATTTTTAACTATTTCACTTTTGATTGACTTAGTTAGGCCACCTCAGGAAACTCTTACTAGAGATGACGGATTGCCTGTTAAAAGTTGTAATGACATCCTGGTGATTGGACTGGCTGTGTGCTGGGGTGGAAGAGAAGCCTATTATATTTCATTGCAGAGGGAACAAAAGCATTCTGGTATGTAACCACCAGTCGGCAAATTCATCATATAATTTTAATGTAGCCTCTGTGAGGTGGTGGCTTCTTTGTTGAGAATAATTACCTGATATTTACTAAGAATTTATTTTTAGAATTAAATTTTTGATAGTGGCTGTAGTATGTACATTACTTCATATATTAACTATAATGACTATTTTAAGAAATGCCATCCTTACTCCATTCAGCTTGTCACATGGAAGTAGCTGCTAATACTATGTTTTCTTCTTGGGGGTAAAGAGGGTGAGTGGAGCGTCAGGGACTCTCTGACCATCTTGAGGGTTTCTTTTTGAAGATTGGATCATAGCAGTTTCTTTTCAGACTTCTTTTCCCCTTTTGACTGGGTCTAGAGCTCATCTAGAGTTAGTGATAAATGAGATATCTACAGTAGTTGAATCATACAGCCTGGGAGAAGTCTTTGGAATTAAAAAGATATGTTCTGAAAATACCTTGTGATTATGGTTGTTGGATACCTTGCTGATTTGAAAAGGAAACATTTTATACGATGCCATATAGTGTTTATTCCTGAGTAAGCATGAAATATTTTCAAGTGTCTTACAGGAAAATATGTTAGGGTGAGTAGTTACTTGAACTACTATTTTTTAAAGCTATAATATTATATATTCCTACTAAATCTCTCTTTAGAAGGAGTTCATTTAAAATTCATTTTAAAGTACCTTTTTTGTCTTTAATTTCTCATTCTGAGAAATGTAAATTTATTTTTTAAAACCTTGATTTTTAAGAATTTTCTTCCACCTAAATAAATGGAGCATTATAAATCATCTAAATCAAACCATAATTTTTGGATTGTGAAGCACTTTATCTACATAGCTGACATGACCTTGATAAGGTCATGCTGAATTATTGGTTACATGGAACTAGACTTTGAATCTTTTCAGTCTTTGCATTATAGATTGCTGTTTCATGTGAATGCATGTGATTTTTGCCTTAAGACTTTTTTTTTCTTTTAAGAAATTAGTGCTAATTTGGCCCCACCTTCTCTGGATCCAAACCTGACTGTGAAGGACAGAATGTGGCACCTTCAATCCTGCTTTCCAAAGGAACCTGATAAGGAACGTACTGTTATCATCTATGACTTCATCCAGAGCTATAAAATTCTTCTTCTGTCTTGTGGTATCTCCCTGGAACAAAGTTATGAAGATCCTAAGGTTCTATGTCTTATTTAATTTTTACATACTTAATTTTTTTAACATTTAGGGCTAATTTTTAAATGACTTGATATTTATTTATCTCCAAGCATGCAGTTTCAGTTCTGTAGAGTAGTTACTCTTTTCCTGAGTAATCCCACCCACTGAGAACACAGAGTTAGGCACAAGTGCCTCAGTGTAGCTAAGAACAGAGATGTCACAAATGCTGAGCACTAAAGTTCAAATCTTTCCTCAGCAATATTTAAAATTTTTATTTTAGTTGTATGTTCTCATTGTAAGTTTTCTGTCTTATAGCATATTAGAAATGACACATCCAAAGAAAAAGCTTCACACAGATGTTTATAGCAGCTTTATTTATAATTGTTAAATCTTGGAGGCAACCAAGATGTCCTTCAGTAGGTGAATGGATGAGTAAACTGTGGGACATCTAGACAACGGATTATCTTATTCAGCACTAATAAGAAATGAGCTGTCATGCCATGCAAAGAAAGACATGGAAAAAGCTCAAGTGCATATTACTAAGTGAGAAAAGCCAATCTGAAAAGGCTATATACATTGTATGATTTCAACGATTTAGAAAAGATAAAATTATAAGGATAGTAACAAAATTAATGGTTTCCATGGGTTAGGGAGAGGGAGAGATGAACAGGCAGAACACAGTGTTTTGTAAGATTTTGTGGATACATGCTGTTATATGTTTGTCAAACCACAGAATGTGTAATACCAAAATAACCCCTGTTATTTCAAAAGCAGTGTAAACTATGGATTTCAGGCGATAATGATGTGTCAGTGTAGGTTTATCAGTTATAACAAATATTTCAATATGATATGAGTTGTTGATAGTGAGGATGTTGTGTGGAGGGGGGCTAGGAGTATATGGGGAGTCTTTGTGTATACCACTCAATTTTGCTGTGAAACTAAAGATGCTCTAAAAATAAAGTTTAAGTTAAAAATTCAATAAAGTAAAAAAAAAAAAAAAAAGAAATGAAAGGAGAACTGTCTCATTTAGGTGTATGATAATAGGATGTTTCAAATATCCCTGAGAATAGAGGCAGGAAATAGAAGTGTGTAGCTGTGAGATGCCCAGAGGAATAGCAGTTGGGGTCATTTAGCATGGAGACAAATCACCTTACTAGCTTGCCCCTTGAGAACTTTCCTATATGAGACCAAAGTATGGTCTGCTCTTCATAATGATGACTGCGTTTTTTAAGGACTTAACACTATGTGGCATTTTTGGAAGACATTTATTTACAACATCATAGTGCTCAAAGGGATATCGCTTTGTGGAATATTAATATTGAGTTGAGATATAATACTAGAGCATATCCTCACATAATGTCTATCATTCTACACTGTCAGAACCTAATTCATATTTATATTGATTAGCCTATGGTAATATTAGTTTTGTTATGAACATTTTGCTTAAAGTTACAGAAACTATGGACAGTGTTAAGTGAGGACTGTCTTTGGTTGTAATTAAAACTATAATCAATAATACAATAATTTGTAGTTTCTTAGTTTCGTCAGCTTTTATGGCAAAGGTTTTCAAAAGCAGTGTCAGATAAATTAAAGACGCTATCATTTTCTATACTTCAAGCCAGGCTCAGTTTACATGTGATAAATGCTATGTAGTTTCTTAATTTTTTAATTGAATTTATTGGGGTGACATTGATTGATAAAATTATATAGGTTTCGAGTGTGCAGTTCTATAATATATCATCTATACTGCAGTGTGTGTTCATCACCCAAAGTCAAGTCTCCTTTTGTCATCACTTATTCCCCACCTTTACTCTCTTCTACTTTCCTCCATCCCCCCAAATGCCATGTGGTTTCTAAACTGACCTCAGTTGGATATGAAAGGTTGTCACGTAATATTTTTAACTGTCACCCGAGGATATGTTTATTGATTTTAGAGAGAGGAAGGGAAACTTACTGAGAGAAAGAGAAACATCAATATGGGAGAGGAATATTAATAGGTTGCCTCTTGTACATGCCCTGGCCTGGGATCGAACCTGCAACCTTTTGGTGTGTGGGACAATGCTCCAACCAACTGAGCCACCAGGCCAGGGTACTTGTCACATAATTTTGATCTTATAGAATCCAAATGAGAATATGGGTGATATGAGCTTATTAAAACTACAGTAGCATCATCACAGATTTATATAGCACTTTTGCATAAACTACTTGAAAATTACATAATTGTTTTGTAAATTGTGAATCAAAACATTTGATGTAAAAAGATGAACTCTTATTTTATGAAATCTTACTTTTATAAGAAACAGTTGCCAACTTTTATAGTACCTCCTGCAAGGGTTCTGATCACCAGTTTCTAACATGCTTGGGGAAGGTGCCCCACACCTCCAGCGATTCTCTGGCTACCAGCTGGGTGTTCTACAGTTCCACTCAGTTCTGACACAAGTTAAGGGCTTAGTCCCACAAGGTAGCCTGCCACCCCTTCACACTCCTGCCACCAGCCCAGGTTGTTATCTGTGCTTCTGACCGACCATCTAGATCACAAGTTCCCATCTCCTTTAGTTTGGCTAACTTGCTAGAGAAGCTTGAACTCAGGAAATCAGTTTACTGATTAGAGTACCATTTTATTACAAAGGATATTAAAGGGTACAAATCAACAGCGAGGTGAAGACATACGCAGGTGCACTATGTGGGAAGGGGCTAGGAGCTCTCATGGCCTCTGTCAACACCTCTGTGTGTTCACCAAACACAAAGTTCTCCAAACCCTCTCCTTTTGTGTTGTTAAGGAGGAGTCAATACATAGGCAGGATTGAGTAAATCAGCCCAGCCCTGGCTGGTGTGGCTCAGTGGACTGAGTACTGGCATGTGAACTGAAAGGTCATTGGTTTGATTCCCAGGGCCCATGCCTGGGTTATGGGCCAGGTCCCTGACTGGGGGCATTACAGGCAGCTGATGTGTGTTTTTCTCTCTCCTGTTCTCTCTCCCTTTCCCTTTTCTCTATAAAATAAGTAAATAAATAAATTTAAAAACTCATCGCCCACTGGTTATAAATTTAATTTCTAGCCCCTTCTGCCCTCCATTTTTAGGCAACTTAGGGACATTCCAAAAGTTGCCTTATTAATATAACAAAAGACACTTTTACATTTCTTGGCACTTAGGAAATTCCAAGGGTATTGGAAGCTCTGTGCTAGACATGGGGACTGGGGGCAAAGATGATATTTATATTTTTTACTATAATGCACAATATTTTACCCCCTATAAAATTATACCCTTAACCTACAAAAGAAGTAATTGAGCCATATAGTAATTGTCAGAATTATGAACTGGGGTTAGATTCCCTTATTCTAAATCCAGTTTTGTTCTGCTAGGTCTAGTCTCATTGGAAAGCCAAAAATAGCAATCAAAATGACTAGTTGGATGATCATGGTCATAGGCCCTCACCCTAGGGGGAAAGCCAGAGGCTTTCTAAAATTCTGGATATGAACTTTTCATGATAAAACATTTATGTCTCACTTTGTCCAATGTTGAAAGAATGAAACAAATCTGAAAGTATGTGGGCCCATCTTTATTATAGCAGCTTAGCCCACATCAGCCGTAGTGGAGAAGAGTCCATCTGCATTTTCAGAAACATGGTTTCAGTAGCTGAGAGGCACTTTTTTTTCCTGATTATAAATTTTTAATTAAATTCATTTGGGTGACATTGATTAATAAAATTATATAGGTCTCAGGTATAGATTTCTGTGGTATGTGATCAGTATATCACATTGTGTGATATACTGATTGTGTGCCCACCACCCAAAGTCAGACCATCTTCCATCACCATGCGTGGCCCCCTTTATCCTTATACTCCCTTCCCGTTGGTAACCACCGTACTGTTGTCTGTGTCTATGGTTCAGTTTTACATCTCACGTATGAGTGAAACCATATGGTTCTTAGCTTTTTCTGACTGACTTATTTCACTTAGCATAATATTTCAAAGCCCATTCATGCTGTTGCAAATGGCAGTATTTTATCTTTCCCTATGTGTGAGTAGTATTCCATTGTATCTATGTCCCACATCTTCTTTATCCAGTCCTCTATTGCATGTTACTCTGGTTGTCTCCAAGAAGCACTTGGTTTTAAGCCTACTGCAGAACTAGGTCAGCAGAAGCATTGCAGTAATGGGAAAGTTATATATTTTCCTTCTTTGAAGGTGGATGCTCTTATTGGTACCAAAAATGAGTCCTGGTATAATTAATCCTTCTTGTTGGAAGACCACTGAAAATTATTGAGTGAAAATGAGCTTTCTTTTTTCCCCTTTTAACCTAAGGATGCAGAAATTTCTTTGGAAAAAAAATCAAGAAAACATATTGATTGCTATCTTTTCAGGTGGCATGCTGGTTATTAGATCCAGATTCTAAGGAGCCAACTCTTCACAGCATAGTTGCCAGTTTTCTTCCTCATGAGCTTCCACTCCTGGAAGGGATAGAGATGGGCCAAGGAATTCAAAGCCTGGGACTGAACGTCAACACCAAGCATTCTGGACGATACAGAGCATCGGTAGAGTCCATTCTCATCTTCAACTCCATGAACCAACTCAATTCTTTGTTGAAGAAGGAAAACCTTTATGGTAAAGCAGAGTATTTGGCATTTTTATGCCGTTAAGACTGGTTTATAGTTATATGTTCAGCCATTTTTTATATAGGAGAGTAAATTATACTTTTTATACAAAATATAATGTTGGATTGTCTAGTATAGGGGTCAAACTTTCTGTTAAAGGCCAAGTAGTAAGCATTTTTCGGTTGTGAAACCCAAATGGTGTAAATCACAAATATTCCACTTGGCCATCGTATCACAAAAGCAGGCACAGAAATATGAAAATGAGTGTTCCAGTAAAACTTCATTTATACGAACAGGCATGTGTCCCTAGTATGGCCATAAGTTTCCAACCTCAGGCTCTAATTTAATGAAGAGAATTAGTGATGTTATATTCATTTTCTGCCTTTTTAAATATGTATTTTATATTTTCATGTTGCCCGGTTACAGTTGTCCCCATCCCTCTCCACTGCTCTCCCCTTCATTTATTGCTCTTATATTTAAACTTTATCAAATGACTTATTCTCACTTACAACATATCTTTCATGGATTTAGTTTTTAGTTTGCTGGCCCACAGTGAGTACCTTGACTTCATAGAGCATAATATATGCTTATGGCAGAAAGGATGAAGTGGAACAAAGTTGGCTTCATTGTAAGAAGTTCTAAATGATTAATTTATTGCCCGATTAATATTAAATGCTAGAAACAGCAGACTGATGAGTTCACAGAGACTGGGTTTGGAATATGGGCTGTGTCACTTACTAGTGAGGGACCTTGGGCAAGCTACTGAACCCTCTGAGTTGGTTCTTATAAAATTGTTATGAGTATTAAATGAGAAAGAACTCAGCTGTTCCGGCCAAGATGGAGGCACAAGTAGAAATGCTTCACTTCCTCACACAACCAGAAGAAGGGTAACTATCAATTTACGCAGGGGGGAGATGGTGGTGAGGTAGGTGAGATCAGAACCCATTTGCTCATTCACCCCACTGGGACACTGAACTGATCTCCCAAAGAACAGAATGAAGAGCCAACAGAATCCCAGCTGATAGGAAGTTTGAAAGCCAAAGGTTGTGGAGGATGTTAAGATTTTATAGCTTGACGAGAAGGTCCCAGGCCCTGTGCTAGAGACCTTGGCTGCCCCTGGAGCTTTGGAGGAGAGCCGGGTCAGTGATTATAACTTAGCAGTTCCCTCTTACCTCACTCTCCTCCCAGAGCAGGGGAGACCTGGATGTTTCAAGTCACCGGGGGAATAAAGACACAGTAAGAGATAGCCATTGCATACCTGGCAGAGACTATGGTCACTGGCTGGGACAGTATCAGAGAGATTGGGGAGCCAGGTGACACCTGGAGATGGGAGACTATATGGGCTGCAATTGGCTGTGACACAGATAGTCTCTGGACTTGTCAGAGGGTTGGTCTGTGTGGAAAGCTGGGAACTTGTTAGGAATAGCCATCTGTAACCAAGGGGAATTTGCTCAAGAAAAGCTCTCAGAGAGGTGCAAGGAACTCTCATGTGGAGGCTGGGCCAGAGAAGAAGGAAGAGCAGGGATGTGATTTGCTCCTACTCAGAGCACCTCACAGATTGATCAAAGGGGGGCACCAGGGGCTCAGGGGGCTCAGAGAGGTAGCAGTGCCCAGAGAGACTTCATTCAGTAGGGGAACTAAACTGCCCTGAAGGGACTGCGCAAATGCAGCAGCCAGACCAGCAAAGAGGGAGGAGGAGGGGTGCTGTTTGTTTCCACTCAGTGCACCTCGTGGACTAATCAAAACAAGGTGGATTAGAGGTGCTGGCCTGGCTCATATGTGCAGAGCAGACAGTGTAGGCTGCACATTGCTCTGAGGGCTTGGGCTGGAAACTAGGCACCTGTCAATATGGAAGTCCAGACTGAGCCTTCATCCTCTCAGAACCACAGGAAAGGAAAAAAATTGAGCCCAGCTCTCCTCTTCCTGCAGCGTCCAGGAAGACCAGCAAAACCCACTAGGCAGGTTTAAAGTCAGTAGGAGGCTTTTTTTTTTTTTTAAGTGTTAAGACAATAGGACCTGGAACTGTGAGGAGAACAAAGACAGATCCAGAAGTCAGAAGGCACACAAATAGCTGAGACAAATTTCACTTTACTATCTTTCAGAACTTGCATTTTGTTTTTTTTTGTTATTTAAAATTTATTTTTATTCCCTGTGTTTTCATTTATGTTTTTTGTTTGTTTATTTGTTTGATTGGTTTTCTTTGTACTCTTTCATATCGCATTTTAATTTTTCTTCTTTTACTTCTCTCATATTCCAATAACACAATACTCTTGGTCTTTTAATTTTTATTCTTTTATTCAGATCATATATTTCTTATCATATTATTGTTATTCCAAATCCCACACAATACCCTCCCCTGGTCTTAATCCATTTTGCCATGTTCATGAACTTTATTACTGTTGTAGTTGACTTTATTCTCTCACACACTATGCCAGGTTTCTTTCCTTACTCTTACTATATCTCACCATCTAAACTTGCATAAGTGCTCTGCTTTCTAAATTTAGCTCACATTCTTTTTCCCTTTTAATATGAGTTTTACCTCTTTTTTATCTTTTATAAAAAGTGGCAGATGGGGTGAAATATCATGGTTATTACTGTACTTCTCCAAAGGGTCACTTACCTGTTCTCTACTTTAAATCCTATAGATCAGGATTTAATCTTCTGCTGTCTTAGAACATTTTGCCTTCACCCTGCCCCTGATCACATACAAGACAGGTGGGAACTGTGAATACAGGTAAACCCTCTGGAGGGGAGAATCTACTAACATAGGAGCCACCAGCAGGTAAAGCCTTAGTACAAAAAGATAGCCCACAGAAATGGAAGAAAGGTAACCCCAGAGCATCAAAACAAGGACATCAAAGAGACTGTACCACTGAGTCCCTCAGAACTCCTACCACAGAAGTTCACCTTATGAAGATAGTTGGCAAAGCAGAACATCAGGAATCACAGAAACAAAAAGTCACCTAAAATGGGGAGACAAAGAAAGAACCATCAATCGAAAGGAATGGAAGACTCCCCAGTAAAAGAGCTAAATGGAGGCAAGCAAACTATCAGATATAGAATTCAAAAGAATGTTGATAAGGATACTCAAGGAACTCACAGGCAACTATACGGAACTGAGTGGGAACGAAACCGAATGAAAAAGGAAATAAAAACTATAAACAATAACCAGGAATAAATGAAGAATACAGTTTCTGAAATAAAAACCAAAGTAGAAGGAATCATAAGCAGGCTGGATGAAGCAGAGGACTGAATTAATGAACTGGATGACAAGGTAGAAAGAAATCCCCAGGTAGTACAGCGGCATGAAAAAAGACTTAGAAAATATGAAGATAGCTTAAGGGAACTGCAGGACAATATGAAATGCAACAACATCGAATCTTAGGAATATAAGAAGGAGAAGAAAAGGAGCAAGGGTTAGAAACCCTGTTTGAAAAAATAATGACGGAAAACTTCCTGAACCTGGAGAGGGGAAAAGTTCAGGAAACACAGAGGGTTCCAATCAAGATGAACTCAAAGAAGCCTACTCTAAGACACATTATAATTAAAATGTCAAGTTTTAAAGTCATAGAGAGAATCTTAAAAGCAGCAAGGGCGAAACAGGAAGTAACATACAAAGGAGCTTCAATAAGGCTGGCAGCAGATTTCTCAACAGAAACACTGTAAGCCAGAAAGGAACGACAAGAAATATTGCAAGTAATGAAAAAGCAAAGGCCTGTAACCAAGACTACTCTACCCAGTGAGGATCTCAATTAAAATGGAAGGTGAAATAAGGAGTTTCTCAGACAACTGGGAGAATACATCTCCACCAAATCAGCATAGCAAGATATGCTAAAGGGACTGCTTTAAGAAGAGGGAAAAAAGAATGAGAGAGGAACACAGGTACAAAGGGGGGAAAATGAGTAAGTACTTATGAATAATAACCTTAAATGTTAATGGATTAAATGCTCCAATCAAAGGACATGGAGTAGCTGAATGGATAAGAAAACATGACCCACACACATGCTTCCCGCAAGACACCCACCCCAGAGAAAAAGACCTACACAGACTGAAAGGGAAGGGTTGGAAAAAAATATTCTAAGCAAATGGACAGGAAAAAAAAAGGTGGGGTACCAATACTTATATAGGATACAATAGACTTCAAAACAAAGGGCATAAAAAGAGACACAGAAAGACACTTCATAATACTCAAGGGAAGAATTTATCAAGAAGATATAACCATTATAAACATATATGCACCCAACATAGCAGCACCCAAATATATAAGGAAAACCTTGGAGAACTTCAAGAAAGACATAGACAGCAACACACTTATACTAGGAGATTTTAACACCCCACTGTCAAAAATGAACAGATCTTTCAAACAAAATGTTAACAAGGGTATTGCAGCATTGAACAATGCCCTAGATCAAATTAACTTAGCTGATATATATATCCAATAATATGTAATATATATTATAGATGTATATATATTATATATATAAAACACACCTTTTATCACAAAGAAGCAAAATGCACATTCTTTTTAAATGCACATGGAGGCCCCAGCTGGTGTAGTTCAGTGGATTGAGCACAGGCCTGTGAACCCAAGGGTCGCTGGTTCTATTTCCAGTTGGGGCACATGCATGGGTTGCCAGACAGGTCCCCTGTTGGGAGTGTGCAAGAGAAACCACATACTGATGTTTCTCTCCCTCTCTCCTTCCCTTCCTTTCTCTCTAGAAATAAAATAAATATCTTTAAAAATGCACATGGAGCATTTTCCAAGACAGACCATGTGATAGGGCACAAAATAAGTCTTAACAAATTCAAGAAAATTGAAATCATGTCAAGCACTTTCTCAGAACACAAAGGCCTGAAACTAGAAACCAGCCTCGAGGAAAAAACTCAAAAACACTCAAATTCATGGAGATTGAGTATCGTGCTATTAAACAATGAATGGGTTAAGAGTGAGATCAAAGATGAAATTAAAAAGTTGCTGGAAGCAAATGAAAATGAACACACAACAGTCCA